CCCACGTCGAGGCGGCTGGGAAGTCGCGGGAAGAAGGGGCGAGGTGAGGATGCACACGAAGGCGCGGGAGCTGGGCTGGTCCGGGACAGATCCTGTGAGCGAAGCGGAGATTTTTGCTGGGAGCCGTCGGGGGGTGGATGTGCAGCCCGAATGGCTCGGGCAGCCCGGAAAGCTCCGCAGCAAGGGCGGTTTGAAAACCCAATGCTCGGTTTTGCCGGTGGGGGAAAAGGATGAGGAGCGCTGGGAGCCGTAAGAGGAAAGGGGTGATGAATGTGTCCTCCTTTAACGTGCTTAAAAGTACAGGAGAAAATCAGCCAGGGACTCCTGTGTGGGGTGTATGCATGTGCGCTCCTCAGGGTTGCAAAATGCAAGCCGATGTTGTCCAAAATCCACAAGCTAAAAAAAAAAAAAAGAAGTCACTTATTAAAGGCTTTTCCTAGGCCGTAAGTTGCCAGCACATTCATTAAAAATAAATAAATAAAAGTTTATTTAAGTTGTCCGAGACATTGTTTCACAGCAGCTGTTTGTTGTCTGAATCTGTTTGCTTCCACCACAGCTTGGTTTCGGGGTGGAAATGCACACTGATTTGAACTGTTGTTCTCCAAAGCCCTTTCTGTTCTTAAATCTAACACTGCAAAGGTGGACCTGAAAAATGTTGCATATTTACTTTTCATTGGGAAAGGCTTTGGAAAGAAAGGCAACATACACAAGCTTGACTTTGAAGAATGTGTGTGCTTGTCCCCTCCGCTTTGCTTTTCTTAAAGTTTTCATTAGTGGCTGCAGCTTAGGATTGTTGGTGGAGAAGCGAGAACAGGAATGTGTGTGCACTGCGGGGAGGCTCAGTGGCCTCGGTTGGGTCTTTCCATTGATGCTTGGGAGGGAGGAAAATACAGTTTGCAACTGCTTTATAGTTAAGTTGCAGCAGAGTGTGCTGCATTTATGGTGTAACATGGCCTGACGTGGACAGAAAGTAAGAGATGATAAATTCAATCCTGTTCTCTCATCCTTCAGATTGCTTTGACTTCAGTGAGAGGGAAAGTTGAGAGCAGTTTGGCTTTAGAAACAAGTTCCTCTGAGCTTTACATACTGGAAAGCTCCAGGTGCCTGTGGTGAGAGGGTCAGAGAAGTCCTCAGTTCCCTACGGGGCCTCTACTGGGGCTCCAGAGGGAGGTTTGCTGGGCAAGGGGGTCAGTGTTAGTGTCCCAGCTGGGCACTGGGAAGCGCACGTTGTGAGAGGGCAGCTGTGGGCTGGCTCGGCCGCCTGCCCTCTCTGCAGTGTTGGGTGGCCATCCTGTGGAAGGGTGGGTGCCCCAGCACCCCCAGAGTGCCCAGCAGCTGCAGGGACCACGAAATCACTGGTGGGGATAGGAGGATTCCCAGAACCCATGAATGGCCTCGCTCCGCTGGCTCTGTCCTGACTGCAGGGAGCGCTGGGGTCAGACAAATCGTGGTGGGAGAGGGCTGAGTTGCCCCTCACGTGGCCACAGCTTCCTTTATTTGAGTGATTTGGTGACTACCTGTTTGGCGATAGCAACCGTGAGGAAGCATAGGCAGCTCCCTCCTCTGCTTCATACCCTGTGGTACCCAGGGGAGCAGAGGTAGGGATGCTCCCACTCTAGAGCAAATAGAGTTGGTTTCCAGTAATGTCGAGGGCTTGGGCTACTGAGATACCTAACCAAGGCAATGCTCAACACACAATGGTCCACATCCATGCTTTTTAGACACTTTTTTAGGAGGACAGGTTGAGGTTGCAAATAGTGACCAGTCCTTTGCATGTGACCGGCACAAAGACATTTTGAGGAATAAGCTGTAGAGCAGTCAGGAAACAGTGACACGAATATGCTGGAGCTTGCTAATAGGTGTCTTATTATAGTACACGGCCAAATTTAATTTTGATGACTATTCAAAATGTGTGGTTGTCTTAAGCTGCTGGTCACATAGCAGGAAAATTGAAAGCATTGTTTAAAAAATGATGTGGCAGAAAAATACTACCTTAAAATACTATTGGTGGAGAAGACTAAATTGCATATTATTATTACACTACTATTTATATTAACTTTCCCCTGACCTGCCAGAGAGACCCACTCTCCTAGAGTCCTGATGGGTGATGCTGCTTCTTGCAGATGGTGGGCAGCAGGGACCATGTAGAGCTGTTTTGATCACCGCTACCTTGCCACAAGGCTGTCCAAGGCAGATATACTTTTATTGTGATCCTAATCACACTGCATATTGCTGCAATACTGCTAATAGAAGTCATTAGAATCATGGGGCAAGAGATCTGGTGTCGCTGTGCCTTCAGCTGCGGGAGCTGGTCTAGTGCCATTGTCATTAGTGCAGCAATGATAGTTTTAGCTGCTGAGTGATGACTGATAAAGTCCAATGCCTGGAATATTGTTTTCTTCACAGAAAGAAAAATCTTTGCCCCTTGATCTAGCAATTGGCTGACTCAGCTTGGGAGAAGCCTTTCTGAAGTAGATATGTTGTTGCATGTGCTGCTCTTAAATGACACTGCAGATGACTAAGTTATGCAGCCGTCAACTAGTCTGATGAATGCAGCTTTTTTAGCCACAAGTACTTTCCTGGTCAAATATAATTGTTTACTGTACAAGGGGAAGCACTTGCAATTCATAGAGTTACACTGACATTTTGTTATAAACCAATACAATGAGAGGCTGTGATCGTTTCTGTGATAACAATGGGCAGATTGTGACTGGGTTACAACTGCGCTGAACTTCAGCTGAGGTGAAGCCGCCATTCTGCTGAAGAACTACAGAAATGTTTCATAAAAAGCATCAGCGAAGGCATTGTCTCATGGCCAGGGAGACAATCTGGGACACCAAACTTCAGTTGCGTTTATTGGACCATACAGACCTCATCTTGGGGGTATCTTCACTGCAGTAGCTAGGGCCTGACACCTAGAATGGGCAAAATATAATAATAGGTAAATTAGGTAAAAAGGTAAATAGGTAATTTAGGTAAAATTAGGTAAATAGGTAAAAACTGTCTCAGGAAATAATTTTAAAACTTCTTGAATGTATTCATGAATTCAAGGCAAGTCACCATAGGCTTTTGTCAGGTTATTTCTTTGCTGAAGGAGAGAATGCTGGAAAAGGAAGGGCAGGAAAATGTCCTGTGGATCACCCTCTCTGCCCCCTTACAATTCATACGGGTTGTGGTGTGCTCTTCCCCTCTTTCCAGAAGGCAATCTGGACAATGCATCTCCCACTTTCCAAGGGTCCAGATCAGGATGCTAGACTAGCATCTTTTGTTTTCATGATCTCATGATTATGATTTTTCCTATGATCTTCAGAAAACTCTATTTTCCAGTGAAAGTACCACTTATGTGGTAAATTTAAGCCTGGGGACAGTAAGCTTGCTTCTCTGTATTACCTAGGGTAACTCAGAGATTCTTCGGGGTCTAGAGATTAAACACTGTTGTTGTGCTGGACCCCGGGGGGTGCTGAGGCATCCCAATTTCTCCTATCAATACTCTTCCTTTGAAGGTACATGCGTTCACATTCTTGCAAAATGCTGGTCACCCCAGTGCAAATGGCAACCTGAGATCAAGAGTTTTAGCTCTTAAAGAGTTCCCCAAAACAAGCTCTTAGTTTTGGACCAACAAAAAGCATTCATCCCCCCATTCAGCACAACTTTTTATTTTTGTTTTTTTGTTGTTGTTTTTTTTCCCAGAAAACCAATTTTCACCCCTATTCTAGTTTGATTTTCCTATCTGGAAATTTCGCTGTCCGTTCATTCTCGCTGTTTGGGGAATGAGCATTGATTCTTTTTGGAGTGTGCAGCATCTAAACTGTAACATTTCTTGTAAGATTTTAAGTGTTTTTGACATAGCATTATATTTTTGCTAAGCTGTGCAGATCTCTTCCAATATTTATATGTGGCAATGGTAAAAAAAGACAACTAGGAGAAGCTGCTGGGAAAATGAAATATATCAAAGTCCATGGGAAAACTTTGCGGTTAGACTGAGACATAATTTAAAGAAAAACAAAAGTAAACCAAAAAGGACAATCAGAGATGTTATAACATGCTCCTTTTTTAAATATTAAATAGACATCTTGTATACAAAAGCAAAGGGGAAAAATTAAGTTGACCAAAAAGCCCAGTGTTATGAAATTACTTTATATCTGGGTGGTACTTCCCAAGATGTGACTTAATGTGCTTATCTGAGCAATGGCCAGAGAAAGCCACCTCATTTCAGTAGGAAGTGGGATCAGTTTTGTGGTGACTGCCCTTCAGAGCATCTCCTTAATTACAAACAGCCTGATTTTGTACTGCTAAGCAGTTTCCCATGTAAACCATGATGGAAGGCCTGCCCGGGGCCACCTCGATGGATGTGCAAGTCCGTGTCCCCCTCGCTGTGGCAGCAGCGCCCTCGCGGGTTGCAGTGACATCAGATGCCAGCGAGACTGATGTGTCCATCTGCTATTTTTATTTGCAGGGCCTGTTTTGAGAGCTGCCGTCCCGAATTACCATGCAAGGAGGGCTGGAACCTGGGGTCCCAGCCGCCTGCCCGGAGGAGTGCTTGGAGAAGCGTGACTTGATCTCCCTCTTGTGGAAAATTGCTGGAACTGAGTTTGTGCCGTATTAAAAGAGGCAAAGAGCTGCATCGACTGACAAATGATGGCAGATGTCACCATGACACCTGCCGCTCTTGGTGGCTCCCAAGGAGGCGAGGAGATGGACTCCCTGATCGTACTGCATTACAATTACACAGGAAAGCTTATTCTAAGAGAAAAGGCAACTGATAAGATGGACCTGCCAACTATTGCATTTCTCGTCTTGTGTAGCTTTATCGTCCTGGAAAACTTGATGGTGTTGATCGCCATTTGGAAAAACAATAAATTTCACAACCGCATGTACTTTTTTATCGGCAATCTAGCTCTCTGTGATCTTCTAGCTGGGATCGTTTACAAAGTAAACATACTAATGTCTGGGAAGAAAACTCTGAGCTTGTCCTCCACAATCTGGTTCATTAGGGAAGGCAGCATGTTTGTTGCCCTAGGAGCTTCCACTTTCAGCTTATTAGCCATAGCTATTGAGCGGCATTTGACTATGATCAAAATGAGGCCTTACGATGCAAACAAGAAATACCGAGTGTTCCTGCTCATTGGAACATGCTGGCTGATCTCAGTCTCCTTGGGTGCTTTGCCCATCCTTGGCTGGAACTGTATAAACAACTTATCAGATTGCTCAACAATTTTGCCTCTTTACTCCAAGAAGTATGTTGTGTTCTGCATAAGTATCTTCATAGCCATTTTGGTAGCTATTGTTATCCTTTATGCACGTATCTACATCCTGGTGAAGTCAAGCAGCCGCAATGTCACTAACCACAATAACTCCGAGCGCTCCATGGCTCTCCTTAGGACGGTCGTGATCGTCGTTGGTGTCTTCATTGCTTGTTGGTCGCCTCTCTTTATTCTGTTTCTTATCGATGTGGCCTGCAGGGTCAAGGAATGCTCTGTCTTGTACAAAGCCAACTGGTTTATTGCTTTGGCTGTCATCAATTCTGCAATGAATCCTATCATCTATACCTTGGCCAGTAAGGAAATGCGTCGGGCTTTTTTTCGCCTTGTTTGTGGATGCCTGGTGAAATCCCAAGTGGCCAGATCTTTGCCTATTCAGCCCACACCAGATCAAAGTCGAAGTAAATCCAGCAGCAGTAATACCCAGAAACCAAAGGACGATTTCCCACAGATGAATGTTCCCTCATGTATCATTGAGAAAAATGAATCTTCATTTCAGAACGGAAACTTCTGTAAATAAGACTCCTCAAGACATGGACTTTTCTGTGTTTTTTAGGATTAAACTACAATAGAGTTCCAATGTTCATGCACTTAAATCATAGGGGGAAACACTAATGACTTATTTAACTTTGAGGACTTATTTATCAGCAATCATTTGCGTTGGATATTCATTCAACAACGCCTCTGACTGAGGAAAACTTTTTGTGCTACTCACGTAGCAGTGGGGATAAAGTCCATGCATGTCCAGTAACATTGTGCACTCTGATGGTATTGCATATGTATGGCTATATATGGCGCTGCCTGAACTTGCACGACATCTATAAAATCTATCGGAATCATTATCATTCACTAAGCATTGCTGATGATCAGAAAATGAGCCCAATTATTCCTGATTGTGAAAAAAGGCTCATGATATATGTTGGCAATTATCGTTCTCAATACGTATCTTGCTGTCATGTTAATGGCCTTACATGTATGTGGTATAAATAGCTGTATACTTGTACAATTCCTTATTAAAAATTTTGTTTGGCAAGAGTTTACAATATGCTAAACGTATGCAGTATACAGTGTAATATGACCAGTTGTACAAGTAGGTAGATGTGTTTCAAAGAGGGTTTTTGAACGTGTATGAAGAAGTAGCTTTATACTGACAGAGAAACTTTAATATGCCATATCAATGCAGTATTTTTATTTTTTCACTGTTACTCAAATGTTTCATGTTCAAAAAAGACAACATGACAGTTGTCACTGTGACATTTCACAACTTATAAACAAACAGTAGTAAATAACAAACAGTAGTAAATAACAAACAATAGCAAATAAAAACTGAGAAAGGATATATACAGTTTGATATTTAAAATAGCTAAAATGTGACCCAACAATACACATATATCCAGTGTATGTACTATTTCAATGCATATATTTTTACTTACTATTTTCAATGTATTTAAAAATGTATGTCAAACCCATATAAACCTGTGTACATTGTAAATGCACTACCTAAGCTGAGTTTCTTCAGTCCTGAATGGAAGAAGTATCATTTCAGAAAGCAATGAACCACAACGAGGTGTTCTTGGGGAGTTCCTAGTGTTTTCTACAGGCACTACTGTGACATGGAATCATATTACAGATTCAGTCAGGGAAGAAGATCTGCCAGCAGGAAAAAAATCCCACTGTCTGCCAGTGGGAACTTAAGCTTTTCTCTGAGCGCTTTTTCAGACACAAGGGAGAAGACACAGTACAGGGTAACAGCGAGATAAATATCTCCTTATGACCCTGCCTTGGATCTGGAATGAGAACCTATTCAGTTTGGAAGACCTTCCACCTTCTTGGAACCCCAAACTTACTCTTTTGAGTGCCTGTTCTAGAGAAACTTCTATGCAAGCAACTCCATGGTTCACCACTGCCTTATTGGGCTCCATTAAGGATGGTGGTCCACTTCAGAGGAGGCTCCAGTGACCTTTAAGGGTCAAGACATCATAAACATTTGGGATCCGGTCCGCGGCAACATGGTCTGTGGTAATTCCATCAATAGGACTGGAGGCTTTGGTGGAGGTTGAAGGGAAATGCTCAAATGAGTTCCCATTGTCATGTGCTAGGCATGTTATCCTCCAATCTTTTTGAGCTCTTGCGAAGATTCCTGTTTAATGTCTCAAACCACACCTTGTCTTATGCACAATCAAAAGTTGAGGGTTTTTCTTTCTAAGTTCACCCTTGTAAAAGTTGATCCTTAGCTTTATTCCTGTCTCAATCATTTAAAGCAACAGCATTAAAAGATTCTTTCAAAGTATGTACAGTGTATCAGTAGTACATCTAATGCATGTAGCAGAAGCCTTTAAAATGTAGAGGTTTGCATTGTCATTATCTTTTATGTAGTAACAGTCTACTTGTAAGTTTTATGCTATTAGAAAAGTATAAGAACAAAAACAAAGCTGCATTTAAAAGAAACAACTGCAAGATAATAATAAATATGAAATAATTTTTATCAAAAATGTTGAGAAGTGGTGCACATAGAGAAAAGGAGCAAGCTATGCTAAGCATGATGTAGGAGTGAGAACTGCAGGAATATAGGCTGGGTAATCAGTTCAATGGTTTGTTTAGAAATAGTGATTGCACTGCACTGTCATGGTTTAAGTTTTTAGATCTTAGACTGTCATTTGGCCATGTTTCAGTTCTCCCCTGCAATGGTTTCCCTGAAAACTGCCTGCTTAAATGCCTGCATGTTGCTAAATGTCAGCTTGAGAGGTGGTAGCGCACAGCAGCATCTCATACCGCAATGAATGAGGAGGGCCTTAGCAGCACAGCCCACCCAGCACCCAGTTAAGGATCTTTTGCATAACTCTGCATATTTAGATGAGAAATGAAAACAAAAAAGTGTAATAGACAGTATCCAAGGAGATGGCAGTAAAAGTGAGTTTTAACAGTAGGCTCCTAGCCCTGGCTGTCGTTAGAGTTGATCCAAGGGTGCAAGCACAGCAAGCAGCTGTGTTGTTTGAAGCCATGTGCCCTTTGGCTAACACAAAAACCTTTCCGCTGCCTTGATTTCTACCACATAACATGTAAATAACAGGTATTTTATACCTGTATTTTTTGGGCAGTTCACTACCATGCATACTTGACAACAGGCTCCTTATGCTCACAGGTTCACATACAAAGATGATATAATACACAAAGTACTTCCAAGTGAAGAGAAAAAAAATCTATTGGGGATGTGCTTTCCAGTGGGTATATCCTGCTAAGACCTACTAGGTGAAAGTCAGATTTTAGAAAGATTTCAAAGTAAAATATCAGAGAAGGCCAAGCCAGGGGCTTAACAGTAGTGGACCATAAAGAACGAGAAGGATATTCTAATATTAAAACTGGAGAAAGCTGGAGGAGCAGCTTGTGAAGAAACATTTTTTCCCCCTATAAAGTATTATAAATTTCCTCAAAATACAACAGAATCCAAATTGTTCATCATCTGCACTGATCTGATCATACAGGAAATCTGAAGTGGTTTTCCCTTAAGTAACTGGTTTGCTTTATGTGAAACAAAAGCTACAAAGCAGGCAAACATTTCCTTCATATTATTTAATGGATTGGAATGTTTATTTTTGTTCTAGATTACAAAAGAAATGCAAAAGCAACCACCTAAGGAAGAAAAAAAGCTTTCACAAGAGGCTTTATTGCAAACAGTCTTACAGAATATTTTTCAATTCATAGGTACCATAAATATTTAAAAATTTTCATTTAAATTTCAAACCTTTGAAACAAAGTGGTCATGTAGCAGTAGCTTTTCACAGAAATGCAAGAAGGTTTTGGCCTTCTGTAGAAAGTAGACAGGTGTTACAGGTGTCTCAAAGTGCCTCAAAGCACTGTCTGCAAGAATGTTATGTCAACTGCATACAGTAGGTCGGCTCTGAGTCTGCCGCAGCTGAAATCAAAGGTAGGTTTTGGCTCTGATTTCCTGGGTGCAGGCTGAGACCCTAGACTTACCTGCTCCACAAGCAGCAATGCACATAGCTATTTCTAGGAAAGGCACATTTTTACAAAAAGCAACTCCAATGGAGGATGCAGTGGTGCCTACTAATTTTGTCATTCCAAAATACTCCAGTAAGGTAAAAGAAGGAAAACAAAACAAAACAAACACAACAACACACACACACAAAAAAAAAAAAAAAAGGCCACTAATATAAGAGTTAAAAAAAGCATGGGACCCTGAGAGCAGCTGATCAATCCCCACTGAGTGTTGCTAGCATCAGCATTTAACTGGCTTTGCTGGTGCCATTTAACTCAGAATTTCCACCAATATAATTAACAGCACTAGCTCAGCTGTTGATTCCACCAGGAGCTGCAGATCCAGCTCCTGCCTGGAGCTCCTGCTCATGGTAAAGCTCAGGAGGGGCACAGCAGCAGTGCTCAGGGGATTTCTGCTCTGCCCCAGCCCCGAAGGAGACCAGAGGTGCCCACAGGGTGACTTGGGAGGGAGACGATTTGGAGGCATCAACTCATTTGAGCTCCCCAGCAGGGCAAAGCAGCTCCCAGCTCCTCAGTACAGCAGCCCTTGCCCAGCACTGCCCATGCCACCAGCCACCGAGCAGAGGCCCCCCAGTCAGCCACCCACTCCGTGCAGCAGGACACCTGGGAGAGCCACCTTTCCAGGTCAGGCTGGCCCCTGGAAGCAATTATTTGCTCCGGAAAATGGCATTTTGGCAAAGTGGAACTCTTGGAAAGGAAAATACCTCTGCCAAAGTCATCAAGGGCTCTTCTAGTACAAAATCAGTGCAACTGAGGTCAGGCACATCATATTTTATTTGGTCCTTTGTTGTTTTTGGTCCCTTTTTCAAATGAGATGAGAAGTTAATTGACTTAGTTACTGGCCAACTAAGCCCTGCTCTGCTTTAAAGCAGCCATTGCTCCAATCAAATATGAAGGGGAAAAAAAAAGTAGGCTGTTATGAAACCTGGTGCAGGAGAACAGAAGCAAGCCCATTTTTTGTACATTTAGATTCAGTAGTAGTATCAATTATTTTATTACTTCTGTTACTCAAATACAGATGGAAAAAAAAATCAAAAACAGTTCCATGACATGTATACTTCAAATAGTGTTGCTCAAGGGCTTGTTCGAAGACAAAATTTGCCTCTACAATCAAAATACCACAATCAGCAAACTGGCAAAAACTTGAGATTTAGTGAAGTATTTCGCAACACATTTCAAGTCCCGAGTCACAAAAGTTGTTGGGAATATAAATAATCACAATATTTCTACACACACTTTTTCCTGCAATTTGCTGTTTCAAATGTTCTTCAAGTAATAAATGCTAATAAATACCAAATGTACAGCCAAAATTTCTTTTACAGTAAAATAGTCACTTGTTTGCTTTTGCGGTCTACATGGTGCAAAGAAAACACATTCACCTCAAAAGAAGAAACCTGACTTTTTTAGGTTCAGCTCTGCAATACTTGACTTAGAAGCAGCTATCACACCAATCCAGCCACAAAGGACACAAATATACATTTTCTACCAGTTACAATCTTCACATCTTCATATGAATGAATCGTGTTATCTCATGATTTTTTTTTCTTTTTTTGAAGGAATATTTATATGAGTGTTTTTTTGTGGATTCTGCCCCTCTGGAGAAAAAGGAAAGACCTGTCATACTTAAATTCCATGATAACTATATAAGCTGTAAATCTTAATCTCGAAACTTAAAGCTACCACTATTACTTGAGTCAAATATGTTTTGCTTAATATACACCCATAGTGTATATTAACACCCCATACCACTTACTTAATGTAGACATTGGCTGCTAAGAATAAAGGCTTGAAAGCTGGATTTGTAACCTGATGGGGAAACATTCACTAGTTGCAAATTTCTGCAAATTTCCCAGAGGCTATAAAACAGTGCTGGCTTTCAAATGGAGCATTTATTACAGATATATAAATATGCATAGATTCTGTTATGAATACATTGTAGCTGGCATCTGGCACTTAATGTGCCAGCAACAATAGCACTGTGATATAAATTTTATGAATTCTCCTCTTGCTATGGCACAACATGATGCTTGGGGACCATGATGAGCGTGTTATTCTACAGAGAGAGAAAAAAAATTAAAGATCCCCAGATACAGAAAATTTAGGGCTGGCAGTTGACACCTACCAGTTTGTTAGTCGTAAACATCTACATTTTCATGTACATGTTCTGTACTCAAATTCTGGTCCCAGGCCTACATTCTTCATTCAAGCTTTTACTGAACAAGCACAAGGTGCAGAGAAGTTTCTGGCAGAATGAGTGGGAACTCACAGTGGGAATCCTGACAGGCTGGAAATGTGGGACAACTCCTGTATAACCCTATATCCTAACTCAAGTGCAACCCCCCAGGCAGTAAGCCATGGAAACTGGATCTCCTTCTCCACCCACACATCTGAATGCCAATCTGAATGTTCTCTTTTTGCATTAGTGAAAGGAATTTAAGGGTCCTGATGCTGCCCAAACTCCCAATAAAGTCCAAATCAAATTCAGCTTTTCACATTTCAGCAATTCACATTTTCTATTTTTGAGGTTTCCATTGCTTGTGAAATGACTGAAATGACTGAATATTTGGAACAGCAGCTGCTGGAGATTATCAGATCTGCCACTGCCAACTTCACTGGAAAATTCTGTTTTAACCATTGCTATATGTCTGCAATGAATCAGAAGCATCTATTTCATTTTCAAAGTGTTTAAAGGATCCAATGCATTTTCAATGCGTGTGATTCACATAGTTGCAACACAACTGGAAACAATGGGAATCGAATTTTATCTCCCTTCATGTTAGACTTGAATTTAGACAGTCTTGCAAGACATTGGGAGTTTCCTAGCCAGTTCTGTCTTCTCAGCTATCTGTTATGGTATCAACGCATGTAGTAGTTTTGAAAATAGAATGATTGTTCAGTACCATGACTCTAGAAGATGGGATTTCATTGAAAAAGTAAGTGTACAAGACTCAGTAAAAATCACTAAAATTAGTCACTATTACGATATCCTATGTAACCATTCCAGCCACATGCCAACTGGGGAAGAAAGCAGCTTAAAATACACAAATTTTCTTGGGAGGCAGAGCTTCTAAAGCGTACTTTGGAGAATGGGCCCCACAGTACAAGAGGGATGTGGAGCTGCTGGAGAGAGTCCAGCGCAGGGCCACAAGGATGATCAGGTGCCTGGAACATCTGCCCTATGAGGAGAGGCTGAGGGAGCTGGACCTGTTCAGCCTGGAGAAGAGAAGGCTGAGAGGGGATCTAATCAGTGTATATAAGTACCTCAAGGGAGGCAGTGAGGAGGATGGTGCTGGTCTCTTTTCAGTGGTGGCCACTGACAGAGCTAGAGGTAATGACCACAAACTGAAACACCAAAAGTTCCACATGAACTTAAGGAAAAAATTCTTAACAGTGAGGGTGACAGAGCACTGGAACAGGCTGCCCAGAGCACAATGTTTTAAGTACCAAAAAGGCCTTCTTTTATAGTTAGCAATACCACTTTGACAACTTCCCAGGCCACGGCTGTAGACAGGCGGGGATATGGCATGAAAAGTGTGTTATATGAGGAAAAAGGTGGGAGCCGAAAGGTTCCAAACTGCAGCATGATGATACATGGATACTCTTTAAATAAACTGTATCAAGCATGTTATAATTTCCAGGTGGTCAATCTGTATTAAACATGAATCATTAGATGCATAATAACATACTCTTATTACTCAGTTGTTTTAATGGAGAATCTGTGTTTTTGCCAAGCTAATAAGGCAAGTTTTATTATTAACATAACTGAAAGATACTTACGCATAGACCTCACATACTTATATCCACATATGTTTAATTTTTAGAATTAGGCTCACCTTGTGACATAGAAAATACCAAAGAAAAGTGCTAAAAAAAGAGAGCACTTTTGGGGCTTTGAATTTAAATGCTGCAGTATATTTCAATAGATTCTAGCATGCATCAGAATAGAAAGATGAAACCTCAAAACAATTCCTGAAGCAGTAAATTTCTCTAATATGTAGAATGTGGACTCAAGGCATTTTTTTCATATTTAACATACCACCACTTTTTAATTAGGTATTTTCTCTTCAAAATGTTTAGTTTCAACATGCAAATCCAAAACAAAAATTATCACATGGGTTCTTCAAGCAGATGTGAACTATTTTTTTTTCCCCACAAAAATATATTAATATTTCTGAAGTCACATTTTCTAACAGAAAACAAACATGCTCAATTTCTCGAGCCTTTTACTTCAGATTTTTTTCCTGCTGCTGATAACAAAAGCATCTGGCCTAACTTCTCAGTTTCCCAGACCTGAGGTTAGAAAGTGTAGCTTGAATTACAAAATAAAAATAAAATAAAATAAAGAGAGAGAGAGAGGAGAGAAAATTTGAAAATTTTGAAAAAAGAAAAAAAAGAGAGAGAATTTGTCAGTATCAGCATAATAGATGAAAGCATGGATCTCTGAACAATAGCATGTACATGCCAAAGTCCTCAGTTTATACAATGAAATAGAGAAATCAGAATCCTCTTGGTTTTATTAAATACTGAAATTCTGGCCTTCACAGATGAAAAGTAAATCAGGAGAAAAAAGATTCAACTACAGCCAGTGATCAAGGCCTAACAGCAAGTTGCCTGTCTTAGTGGAGTCACTTTTCATGGTGTAAGCACACTCAGTACAATAAAATATCTTCCTTCCTACCATCATGGCCATAACAGTTGGAAATCTACAGCTTTGGGGTAAAAAATCTCCTCACTTTCCCTTTCCATTTCCAAACTAATAAGCAATTGAAACAACTTTTTGAAAATATCCATTTATCTCACTGCCTTACTAACTGGGGTTGCAATGCAACATTTATTTTCTTTCCTTCACTCTCAGTGCCCACCTAAACCTAGAAATATCTAGTAATAAAATGTAATCTGTAATAAAATGAATCATAACCATCTAGATCATTGAATGTCCTAGTTTGACTTCTGAATGTTTTGAGCACAGAAGTAAATGTATTTTTATTGCATGAGTCACATGATTAATCTTAATTGCCTTACCCATTTTTGTTTGAGAGATCAACCAAGAACAAATTTCCAAATCTGCTCTATTTCAAAGGAGAAAGTACAAGAAAATTAGTTTAGAAATTCATCACAACAATCCGATCTGAATTCTTAAGAGAATTCTTAAAGTGGATCTTAACCAAATTCTTAAAAGTGATTCTAAAACCCAAATCTAACTTTACATTGCACTGGTGACTTCTTGAAGGTCACCAAGACTCCTCCTGCTAAGTCGCAGCCTTTCTGGATCAAATATGAAGATTTGATTTGAGCTATTTGTGCCAGAGAAGACCTAAGCACACACAGACAAAAAAAAAAAAAAGGATGATGGTTACTCTGACATAGACTCTGTCTTTACAGAAAATTGTTCATCAAACTGTAAATTGAGTTTGGCTCTTTATAAAACTACATAAATAAGAAGTAAAGTACATAAATAAGAAGTAAGATTCATACAATAGGGAAGTAATAGTTTCGTACATAGGTTTGTACAATAGGGAAGTAAAATCATGCAGTGCTTGTTCTTGAACAGCACAAACGTTCAGGAAAACGTTCCCACTACCAAAAGCCAAGGATATTTATGCTAAAAATATTTTTCCAACTTGATATTTAGAGATAATCAGTACATTTGTAATACCTAGCATGTACTCAAGGCCAATTTCAAATGGCACTGTGGGAAGAAGCATCCAGCAACTAAATAAATCCAAGTGATATCATTTGCAAAACTGATCACTACGTCATGACAGTTTTCACTGTTTATATGAAAAGAAGATTTTTCAACTATGTCTTTGACCAACCATGTATTAAATCTATTAAACACAAGTCATTTGAACTGATGTAATCAGAATATAACATCTCATTGTAGACTGGTAGTCAAGGACATCTAAACTTTCACCATAAGAAGAGAACTACTTGTAAATAATCTCAGCACTCTGATTAATAAATTAAAGTTGCAGAATATTAAGTTATATAATTGTTAGAAAAAATTCAAATGCACACACCTCATACACAGAGAGATCACAAGTCATTGTTAAAGCAAGTTACAAATGTTTTGAATAGCGTCATATAAGAATTCAAACTTGACATCAGAAAGATAAAATGCTTTTGAAATTAGTGACACTGAATAACGCTTTTAAAAACCATTTTATGCTATACTTCCACATTGGAATACTGCTGAATTCAATCTCCTTGGTATTTAACCAACGTACTCTGCTCTATGTCCTCCCCAATATTGTGCTTTTTAGATAAAATTATAAATAATATTCCCAATATTTAGTTTCTCAAGGAACTGAGACTGCTGAATTTTATTTTCATCTGAACAATCAAAACTGGCATGTTTCTTCTGTTAAAAACACTTGGCACAGAAGATTAGTTCCATACCTTCAAGAGACTGACTTGAAAAATATAAATATATACTGTATCTATACATAATGTGTATATATACACTATCTATATTCACATTAGAGAATCAGAACAATTTTATTGAAATTACTTTTTAAGAAAGCCTTCTGTTGTGACTTCATGTCCACATAAAGCAACAAGAATTTTCAAGGGTACCGTGTTAAATGGGGGTTACCAAACCTAAAGAAAACATACTGGTGAAATATACATGAATATGCTTTTTTTTTTTTAATGTACATGTTTTCAGATCTGCAGTTTCCACTAGTGATAGCTTGCAAATTACAAAAGCTAAAAATCAGCTTGAGTCAGTGTTTCCTCTCAGCAGGCTGCTGCAGGCAGAGTTCACTCCCCGAAGAAACTATTGGCAAATTATTCTCAAGATGATAGTTGATGAGATGACTTATGCTGTCAAAAACACGATCTTTTGTACGAACCTTTAAAGAAAGGATGTAAGAGAAAACATTAAAGAAAGAGCAAAATACTTTTTCCCCTCTAGTCTGCATTAAAGTTCTTTAAGAATAAGTTAATCATTACTCTGTTTTTTTATCCCCAGTTTTAAGAGATTGATCCCATCAAAATCTGCAGGAGTTTGGCTGCTTTTGCTCTTGTTTCAGCAGCAAACTCTTCAGGCCTGCCTGAAAACTTTCTGAGCAACATTTTATTTCACTAAAAGGTGGTATTTTAGATCCACTTTTCTTCCTCCAGAAATGACCTGCTTCTTTCAAGTATTTTCACTTCTTGTTTTTTCTCATGAGAAAAAGTCATCCCTTCAAAAAGACCCTAATTCTTCTCACCATGCCCAAGCAACTTCGTGTTTTTCCTTCCAAGACCTTCTTCTTGAGATGCTGAAAGACGTGCTTCACTTCTGCTTGAAAACTCCCTTCCTCCAGAAGTGATCCAGCCATCACTTCTGTCTGGCCTACTGCTGTTTGCTCTGTGCTGCAGAGCACCCACTTGGGCTTTTGAAATTCAAACACTTTGGATAAGAGAACAGCATTTTTCCATCATATTTACCAGCACTCTGCACTAGTATCCTGCTAAGTAAATTATTGCATCCATGAAAAGATAACACTGATATTGCAACGTCAAGCAGTCAAAGGTTAGGGCAGGACAAAAACTAATTTAGAATAAAAAACAAACTTGAATAGTATAAATCACACATCTCCACAAAAAATTGCTTCCTATGCTTAGAGTGAGTCAAGGAAGGAATACAGTGTCCAGAAGGAGTATAGTGTCTCACACTAATGTCATGCCACAATAAAGGTTCACATTGGGAAGGTTCTAGGAGTTCCCAGAAAAAAGCACATGAATACTTCTATAAAATGGGGGATATCATCATTTCTCCTCAGACTTTTATCAAAAGGAGGTAACAACTTCTGTTAAAATTTTCCAAAATCAATTTACGCCACAGCAGACACATTTCCTGAAATATGTCCCCACAATTAAATTCTGGAAAAACTATTAGCAACTTAGCGCAGGCTGGCATAGAAAAAAATAAACAACAAACAACTTTGACACCAAATGATACTATTAGCTTGGCAGACTTTAGCAGTGTCATAGAAGAAAATCATCAGGTTCTCATGGTTTCTGAAACATGCCTCTGAAACATCAGTGCCTATATTTACTTGAACTCATATTTTTAAAATTAAAGGATATCTCTAAATTACCATCTTTATTCACATGAACACTTTTAAAGTCAGTTCAGTTCAATTGCGAGTGTTCTCACTGCTCTGCCATTTCTGAAGTTCAAGATCTCATTCTAATTCCAGCAGCAAGCCTGAACTCTTCAGTTTGAAGCATCACTTACCTTGAACGAGAGGCTCTTTTTTGTGAGCTGGATCAGGGTAGATGCAACAAGAGTGTTAACTCTGCTCTGAAAACAAGGTTTGTTTTGTGTTGTAACACATCACTAGCTATTTTTTGTGTGTTAATGAATGGTCAGCACTCTTTTTACGCCCGAGTTTTATAAATAATTATGCCAAGGCCACATGGAAGAAATGGAAGTCACTTACACACTGCTCAAGCTTGCTGAGCTTTGCATTTTACTAACTATGCTCTGCTCTGGTAAGTCACAAACCAAGCTGCTCAACAGTGCATGGATCCTATAAATCCCATCTAGAAGCACAGCTGACCTAGACACTGCCATAGGAACCTGGGTCTTTTCAAGTCGTGCCTCCTTACATGGACTCCTGTGAGAGCAGGCTCTTTGGAGCTCCCATAAACTGGCAGAAACTGCTGTGCCAAGATCCTGCAAGATGCTGCACAGTCCACATCTTCCTGATCGTCACCTCAAGGACATGAACAACCTGCTAGCAGGAAGAACTACTCAGGTCTGGAAAGTACTTCTTTATTTAGTTCTAGTTTAAGGGGCTGCCCTGGAGGGAGACAAGGGATTCATCCTGATGGTGTTATATGCCTGTCATATTCTCTGCCAGTCCTGCTGAGTGGTGGCAGCAGGCAGAAGTGTCTTGCTGGCAAGCCTTTCCTCCAGGAAAGATCCTGGGACACGATGGGTCACCACAAGGCTGACGGATGGTGAGATGCAAACAAGAAGCAGGTACCTAGGTAGGAATGGGAGCACAATAGTGCTGCCCTTAAAAGCGATGGAAAAAAAAATGAGGGTCTCTATCCTTCACCTACACCAGTAAAATGCCCCGTGATTCACAGAGCCTTGGTACTCCACACCTGTAAGGACAGCAGCAGGCGTATATACCCTCTGCCTTTTCAGAGGACCCTGGAACAGCTATTTCAAGCACTTGTTTTGAAGGGAGATTTAACAGGCCCTACTGAAAAAGTCACGAAATAGCTGGCAAAATTTTAGCAAATGAGGTTCTTCTCCAAGAGGCTTGCTTGGCACCTGCTTTCTCAGGCTGGTGTCTCAGTAAAGCCTAGCACCAGGCAGTTGTTAAATAAAGTAGTAAAACCAGCATTTGACTGCCCTCTTGTGGCAAATATAATTACAACAAGTGCCATGGCCCTTTTCTCATTACAGCATTTAGACTCTGCTGCATCGACATAATTCTGCAGGTTTTCTGAAAGTCTCCCAGCTGAATTGGATGCCAGTAGGTCAGCTCCCTTCCTGGAGCTCCTCAGTTGCCCTGGGACCTGTCCTATACAAATAAGAGGAGTTGCCAGCTGTCTGCTACCAGGGGCCAAGAATATAATTCGTGCCTATGCTTTAGGCTGTCTCAGATCAGGATAAGCATCCGCAGAAGCAAAGCAGGAGAGCTACAGAAGCTGGAGTTTCTTTGCCCACAAAATTCTGCAGACAGGTAGCTCCCTTCCCCACCTAAGGGAGACCTTGTGCTGCCAAGAGATAAGGAGTTCTTCTCCTATCTGCCTCCCAGGCTAAGGGCAGGGAAAACTGAATGGCCTAGATGTAATGGTCTGTATTCTGGCTGACAGAGAATGTGTTGAAATTTCAGACACAGAGGCTGTCCTATCAGTGATTCCATCAGCAGCTTCTCAGTTAGAAGGTTCAAAAGTGACTTAGCTACATTTTGAGGCCAAGACTGTATTGCAGTGACAAAGCTTGGCCTTGATAGGAACACGCCTCCTAATGTTCCCTGCAACCTGCAGAAATCAGATCTGCAGAACTGCTAAACATTGGAGAAAGAATTTGAGATGTGATGTCACCTTAGATGAGGCTGTGATTATTGCCGGGTGTGAATAAGCTATAAGCAAGATTAAACATATATATATAAACAAAATATGCCAAGTCAGAAATCTGCCACAGTATTATTTGAGGATCAGCACTTACAGTTCCTTCTGGATCCACCAAAAGAAGATGCTTGGCTTGTCCATTATGCATGCCAGTCAACACATACGAGCCAGGGTTCGTGGTACTTTTCCTCACAAGGAAGTCTCCACATTTCTTGAGCAGTTGTTCTGCTTCTTTCCTACTCATCTCTCCTTGATACCAAGGCTCTATATTCAGCTTCTCCATCGCAGTCCGGTCTGCTGCTCTGGATAAAAGAGGACTGGTGCATTCAGTGGAGGTGACCTTATTCAGCATCGGCTCGGATGTTTGGTTCTTGAGAGCATCTTCAAACGGTTCTGGTTATGGACACAAAAACAAGTGCAAGATCATTCACAGATAAATATATTACATTGCAAGACGGTGATATTCCAGTTGTTTTTAACTGGATTTATTTTGTATAATAGCCACTTTCTTTTATCCATATGAAAAACTAAGGAAAGATGTGCCACTAGGCCTACCAATTTATGGAATTTATTAAGAGCAAGGAATGCAATATGTTAAAATACACAGTATCCACAGAAAAATGCTGCTAAAAATCAAAGCCAATCTGGATACAAGCTTCTGAAAGGTACTCATGAAAGATACTGATGAAAAATACTGATTCTGTTTCAGTAATGGCAAAAATAAGACATCAGTTGTATTTATACGCACTGGTACAGGGCAGAATTCTCCTTTTGTCTTGCCAGTTTCATCAGACAATTTAATTTCAAATAAATTGCATAATGTGGATAGTCAAAGTTGTTATGCTCATATCTGGCCACTTGTCAAAAAACATGTTCATTTAGCAATTATGCATTAGCGAGTCTCCGGCCTAAGGCAATGTCTACAAGGGATCAGTAGACCTTACTGCTCACCTTACTCCTCTTCCTGACAGACACAGGCTTTACTGTGATTTAGCTAACTGAAATCATCCTTGAGGAAGCATCTTTTAAACCTCAGCTGACTCCTGAACTCAATATTACTTTCTCCAGATTGAAATGGAAAAGTGTGTCATTAAATTTCCCAACAATCTTACAGGTACAGGTCAGTGTATGCTTCATCATGTGTTGCACTGACCTATCAAGAACTGTTTTCGCTTTCAGACTTTCACAATCAGACTTTCATCTGATTAGCTAATATCAAAAAAGACAGTTTTACATCCATTAGACTTGCCACAGGACATCTACAGAGCCGGACCAAGAAGAAATTAACCAGCTCTAAATAGGCTACTGAAGGGCTAAGAGTATATAATGGTTGTGTGGGGCCACGTAAGTGTTAATTTAGCTCAGGGAATGAGGGTATACACTATGTTGTCCCAGCTTGTCGGAACTTCAGCTGATTGTTTAAATCAGCTCTCTACTACACTGCTGTCTGTGCAAAGCCCAACACCTTTAATTTGACAAACCCCATTAAACCGACACATTTTCCAGTGCCATTTTTCTCTTTCAAACTCATGATTAAAAAAGATTAACACATTCAGGAAGAGAAGAAATTATTTTTCCTTATTTTTAGGAGAAGAATGTTTATAAAGTGGAGGCAAGCATGTGTATGTTTTAAGTATGTGGAATGTCGAATTCAAAGTTAACACCCTTCTTCTCATAGACAAAATTTTTCTCATTGCAGATCACTCTTCACAGGAAGGCACCCTCCCTCTCACTAGAAAGCACTGCTAGGCACATCTCTGAAATACATTCCCAGAAGACAGTATTAGCATACTGAAATAACAGAAATGTAGATACACATAACACATGCCTTTACACATATAGGCACCAACTGTTTTGTTTCACTGCCTTTTAGTTATGTGAACTGAATTAAAATCAATTAACTAAATAATGTGTCAGCAACAGATATGAGGTACGAAAAGTGAAACAACTGGGCAAGTTTTCTGCTTTCCCTATCTTTTCTGCTAAATATGATTTGTTCACGGCTGAGAACAGTTTAGTACCAAAATTAAGATAGGACTGATGCTTAAAACATTCTAAGGTTACAGCTATGATACTGATTTCGTAACAGCTAACTTCAAAGTTAAAACAGATAGCTAAGTGGGACTGTAGGTCTGCTTTGGAATGGGATAAAGTGTTTTTATAAATTCTCTTCCAGATTCTTTGTTACACTAAGTCTCTACCACATGGATTTGCTACCTGGCAGCATACTGGCAAGGCCGGCATGGGGTTAATTCCCCAGACACTCAGTCCTTCAGTCCAGTTCAAGAGGAGGCTCCTGATCTTATTTCCTTGACAGGAAATGTCATGTTGTCAGGCTGCAACTCAGCTTATCACACAAATAATACAAACTAGTTTCAAATCTTTGACCACCCTTATTTTGAACTAAGTCAGAGATGAGTAAGCACCACAAATTCCAAAATTCACCGTATCATGAATCCCCCACGATTTCCCCCAGAAAATTCCTCTGGGTGAGATTCTGAATTCCTTAACGACAAAATAAATCTGCAAAAATACTGGATCTTTTTTATAAGAATGGATTGAACAGGGAGGGAACTCACTCATATCAAAGAGGTCCTTTTCTGGGCTGCTCTCTTTGGCATTATCTGTTGTTCCACTGAAGGCACCTTCAGCATCTGCTTGAAGTGCCAGTAGAGCCTCCATATTTATATGCTGAGTGTTCACGTAGGTTGGTACCTCTGCTGTTGGATTTAGTTCTGATTTCCCTTCTGGCATGTTATAAATATCCAAAGAGCCTAGAAAATTCAAAAGATTTTTTTTTCTTTTTCTATATTCAATAGAAGGTTGTTTTTAAAATGCCCAGAAAACATCACACATCATCACAGTTTTAAAATTCCCTGGAATGGAATATCAAAAGACAATAACTGCTGGGCCTATCTGAAAAAAAAATTGATGAATGAAGAACTATGTCTCATACAAGTTTTTTTTTTTTTTTTTTCCATGAGGGAAGTGAATGTTAAAAAATACAGATTGTGAATTTTAAAGCTGATGTCATGGTGGAGTTGTGAGAGAAAGACAGAGAATAAAATCCCCAGATTCATGCAGATCAGCAAAAGAGAACAAATTCTGGCACTTGGAAAGAAAGTGACCCAGAAACACAGCAACACCACCAAGTAAATGTGGAATGGGTGAAATTTAATGGAGATGTTTTGACTGACATGATTTGCTCAGAATTCATAGACAACGACAACCAGAAAAATATGTGTGGTTTGGTACTTAAAAGTCATTTGTAGAACACGGTGCAAACATACATGCACTTTTCTAAATTTTTGGAACGGTTAAAATTAAACTTCCATAATGGTTGAAATTTCCAGAATGGACTGAATAGTCTCCCTTTAAATACCATGAGCTGTTAAGATATGGCAAGCTGGAAAAGGGTCAGAGAAAGCTGAAGGTTGGGGGCTACAAAATTATGAACCTTTCTGCAAAATGTAAGTTTTTATGAAAGTATGCATTAAAAAAAATGTCCAGAGTGAAAACTAGCTAATAGTTTTCACTGAAACTAATGAGAAATTTCACGACAAAGGAAACATAACAAAATACAGTTCATTGCCTAAAGATGTTGAAGCATCAGGCTTTCCTGCCCTTATCCACCCAAGACCACCTCCATTATGAGCACTTACAAGTAGTGAAACTCACCTTGTTTAACAGGCCCATGCTGCCAGTCTCCACCAAACTTGTCTCCCAGGTGTCGACTCTGATAATAGGTTTGCTCTCTTCCCACTCCTGCTGCAGACTAGAATGGACACACACAAAGAAATATTCAATTATCTTTAAAACACTGTGATATATTATGAGTGGTTTTGATGACTTCCTTCATTGTATTCTGTGTACACCCACTCTTCATTTCTGATTCATCGTGGTGTCAGAATATATATTTCATGAATGCATTTGTGTAGGAGTAAGGTAATGCTGGTTACCTTCATATAAACTTCCCTCCTTCCTGCTTTTACTAACCCCTGCAATCCAAAATGACACATCATTTCCTTTAGCACAGTTGTCTTCACATAGAGAGACTTGACCAACCACACCTGACACAAGTGCTCCACAGAAACCAGATGCAGGATCAGAAGATGTCCCAAGCATCCCCCAGAAGGATAGAAGAGCTTCAAAGCCCCATAAGTAATAACACAAATTAGTAGATGTTAACCAATGACTCCTTCCACCTAGCAAACCTGTCTAGGGGTTGCGGGAGCCTTCAATTCTCCCAGTTCCTGCCTACCCCGCCATTGCTGATTCCACTTACACAGAATAAAAGATCACTTTTCTTCTTTTTATTCTTTTCTTTTTCTAGCTCAATATCCTTTTTCCCAGAGCAGCAAAAATAAATGAAAGAGGAGGGCAAAGATATATGAAGGATCTCCCATATATTCTCCCCGACATCATTTGAAACTCACTGAGCAAACTGATATGAAGGTAGCAAGCCTCAGTGGACTTCTCTTCCCTGAATCTGTGTAACCTTTTAGTGCGATGAAGAACTCATCTCCTTTTGCTTATCCCAAACCTGCCTAATTTGTCACCCCTAGATCACTGATGCTCCCTCATTCAAGAGGAAACTGGCCACACATGAAGAGCTGCAAGCTATGAATGTTCCCAGTGTGTCCATCCAAAGATACACATCTCTCTTCAATTCTGGATTAACAGCAGGAAGGCAGAGGTGCAATTGCACTGACCTGAGCTGTATCTGCAGCAGTGGGAAGCTTCGCTTTGATCCTGGCATCAATGAAGCCTCCAGGAGGGGGCATTTTATTGGGGATATTGTTGTAATAGGCATGTTCGGCTGCCTCTCCCTCTTCCTCCATCCACGGCTCATCAAAACTCTGCATCCTGTAAGAAAGGGACTGCTTTACTTTGCCCATTGCTTGCCAAGTGCTCACAAGAGCTTGAAGCATGTTAGGACTGTCTGTCAGGAGGTCACTATTATACATTATTTTGACAATTCAGCCACACTTAAAAGTCAGGAAGGAATGATAGATCAGACAGCAGACCCTCTGTGTTTAGACAAACTAGGCTCTCTTTTGCAACAGATTTATTTCTTTATGCTGACTAAAGGATGTTTTCATTCAGCCTTAATAAATGCCATTAAAAACTGAATTAACAAACTATTGTATTTAACCTTACTGCAGCCTTTGTAATATTGTTACTTGATTGACTGATTAAATTCTAAAACATTCCCTTTAATTATGGCTGCTCTAACACATTGGTAGTTTTGGAAGAACTCCATGAAGTTGAGAGATCAGATTTGCAGTTTCACTCTATGTTTAACCCATTTACATCAGCCTAAAGTGAGTACAGGATGTTTCCAGGTGAAAATAAGTAGCATTTTATATATGCTATGCTTTCAGGTAAGAAATGTTTATTCTCAGGTAAGAAATAACATAGGGTGCCAGCTCATTGGATTTAGTGAGCATATACCAAGGCATTTAAAAACCACAACTCACTAAAGAAAAGAAAATGTTATTTTCTTTTACACACTTTTACACACACATACATAAGCAGATAGCTTTTGTATCCTCCAGAGAAGACTGGAGATGAAGTCTGTCTACAATACACTATATTCCTAAAAATTTCACCCTGGCTAATAACAGGAATATTTAAACATCACTAGACATCTTGAAAGCTCAGTAAATCCAGTTTACTGCATCTAAATTAAGAAAATTGCTGTGACAATAACAACAAGGTCTGAGTGACACACAAAGCATCCATTCCTGGCCATCTGACACTTTCTACTAAACACAACAGAAAATGCATGAAATGCCAATAAGTTCACTGTCAAAACATATTTAAACATTCTTTTAAAGTGACTGTACTCTTTTCATATTCATTAGGCAATCCCTAATCTACTTTGCCAATTCAGCAGAAAGTTCTTGCTGAAGTTTTTAATTCCTGCCCTTTTCCAGCACTTTGTCCACAGTGCATTTTGCTAAGTAAACGAAAATCTAAAGCCATTTCTCTAGCAGTCTTCTGTACTCACCTGTCCTGGAAAGCAGGGATCTTAGAGGGATATCGTAAATATTGTTTAAATCGGAGCTCAAAGGCTTGCCCAATGGTGCTGATGACGTCCTGCGCCAGGCCATCGCAGCACTCCAGGATATGGCAAGCTAAACGGGAAAGATGGGTGCATGCAAATCATTGCTTATGTTACAGCTGGGTGCACTAACCTACAGCAAAAGACCATCAAGTATAGCTGTACTATTCACAGTGTGCACATTTCAATAAAACTCAAATCAGCTACAGCAAATTCCAGACAACAGTGCCTTTAAAGGTTAGATAGGATTGCTGCTACCTGCAGTAGCTGAGACCAGTAATCAGTTCCACAATTTTGACAGGTATATGAAGACAGGAAACCTCATAAAATTGCACTCATTATTCCCTGAATACAATAGGTTATATGAGATTTTGGAGCTTTAAATTGAGCTTATAAAGATATTAGTCAATAATGCCAAAAAATTCCAACTACCCAAAATTTCTTTGCTTTCCTCAATTTTACTCCCACATTAGTTTTAAAAGCTAATCATCCCAAGTTTGCAAGGCCTTCACTTCTTCTGAGTTTCCCAAAACCTCCCCAAATATAAGCTCAACTAGGATGCATAACTCAGATAGATACTCATGCAGGCTTCACCTGGAAGTGTATGAACGTACATGGTTGTTAAGAGATGGAAGGTAAAGGGTGAATTACTGCCTCAGTAATATAAAGAAAAGCCCAAGTGAGTTCATATTCTATATTAACCACTGGACAAGAATATGGCCTGCTGACTAAAGCCAGCCTCACCAACGAGAATCTGGTTGTTCTCTAAGCCCTACCATAGTACAATGGGATCTTATTCAAAGTTATCAACCTCTGTCTCCCCCGACCATTTTACTAGTTTGAATATAGGTACTTCATTTAATATTCAGTTGCCAGTTCACTTGAATCAAGAGCTTTGGATGCTAATGTCCTACACATAGAGGTTGCACCTATGTGATTCTGTCAGTTAAAGCCATACAGGAGGTGAGGAGATTTAGCAATGGTCCTCCGAGGCTGGTCTGCTGGATGGACTTCCAAAGAGGCCAGAATTAATGGTCAAGAAGTGTGCAGCTATGCCGGCAGAGAGCGACGAAGACACCAAGCTGTCACTCCCTCATCAGCAGTGTCAGAGACAGCATTAGATGGCACCAGGCACATCGCTGCTTGCTACACAGATCCAGAGATACTCTCACCTTCAAGCATCTGCTGTGCCCAGCAGCAGGATGAGGCAGGATGATTTTGGAGAAATGTCCCTGACTGCAGATTGAAAGTGGATTTAAAGGCTGACATTGCTGGCTAGCTATTTGCTGTTTGCCTTCCTTGCGCTGCCATTGGTACAGCGCTGTACAATCCGCCCCCGGATAAGGCGCACACAAATCTTCATGAATGTGGATTCAAAGAAGTTAGGTCAGAACCATGATTTTTTTCTGCCCTGTAACAGCAGTGGATATTTAAAGAACCTACATTGCTCGCTACTAAACCTGCCTGGAGCTGAAATGAAGCATGAGTCATTTTTTTTTAAAGTAGTTTCAGTAGGTGATATAATGAATAACTTGTTTCCTTGGATACGTGAATGGAATTTCGGCAGGTAAGAGATGTGCTTCTTGTAAAAGGACAAGAAGGTCTGGCTCACTTGTAGATGCTTCCTTGTGTATATGTTACAGAGGAAGACAGACAGTCTTTAGCTTGCTTTAGATGCAGAATAGAAAGCTCTAAGAAAGGAACTTTCCCACCGGTGGGAGAGCATTGCAAGTTCTCTTACAGCACGGGTCTTGGCATTAATAATAGCAGCAGTAATATCTTCAGCAGATGTGGAAGCAAATTTGAACTATTTAAACTCACTTCTAACATGTTGTGCAGGTAACACCAAGACTAACCAAATGGCCAGTGATGGTGCAAAAGGCAGTAAGAATCCCTTGGTAAGCTAAGCTCCTCAAAAAAACAAAATACATTTTAATACCAGACATATGAAAAGTCACAGGTCTGCACATCACTGGTGTATACACTCATGGGAAAAAATCTATCATGTAAAGCTCTAACTCTGAAGGATTAAGGATGGGAACACAGGAGAATTTCACGCAAGAATGAATGTGCCACTAGGCTGCAGCACAAAGAGGTAATTAAAAAACTGGCCAACAAAGCGCACAAAAGTGAGTAAGGACAGGAAGGTGCAATCTCTATCCCAGACTAGTGAGTCAAATACTAGATTATTGCAAACATAACTAACATTGATCTGCATTTTTAAAACAATGCAGAATTTTTTAAGACGGTGGAACAAAAATGATTGGAGAGATGGAGGACAGGTGCTACAACTGGAGTCCTAGAAAATTCACCAATAACCTTTTGTAAAGGAAACTGAGGGGCAACCTGATCACAGCATATAAATGCATCCATGGAAAGACAGTATGAGGTGCTTAAACTTTGACTCTTTGGTCTAGTATAGAGCTTAATAACAAGAAAAAGTGGCAGGAAGCTAAGGCTGCACAAATTCAAATTAGCTATAAGGAATGCAGTCCACAAAGCAGTTTTTAGTAAAAGCTCATGCACACAGGAACAGCAGACAGAACACAGAGCTCCTCTAGACTCTACAGTGCGCATGTCTGGTCTGTGATGCTGGCTCTCTAGGTTGCTACTGAGAGATTTCTTGGTGTGACTAAATTAATCTCATGTTTTGGAGAATGGTACAGCTGAAGAAAAGGGCTTTAGAGTAGCTATACACAGGACAGTCTACTGTCTGGTGCCTGAGCCTTTTTAACAAAAGACTCAGGAAGCTGACCACACAGGTGTGGTGAGGAATTGGACCATCTCCCCATCTTCATTCCCTCATAAGTTTCCTAATCATTTGACTTACATTCAACATGTTAGTATGTTTAGTGCAGTTATTCTCCATCAGCTAAAAGTGCTGAGACTGGGCATTTCTGTACACAGATGCAACAGTTTGTTGAATTACCCAAGTAATTAAAGGTCGCAGAACGTGGAAGCTATTGAGCTGGTCATGCCTATGGTTAGGCAGCAGCTAGCAATTCACTGACTTGAGATTTTAGAGTTAAACTGTCTAGGTTCTGTTGAAATCCCACTGGAAGAGCTTGAGTCTTTTTTTGGAGCTAGTCTCTTTATTTTTCCATGAATCCATGAATAATAAACAGATTCTCAGGTACATTATACAATAATCAGCACCTTGAATCAAGACATACTGATTTTTTTTTTGCATTTCAAGCAGAGAATGTTTTATGTATCTATTATTTCAGTCTATACACTTTTATAATTTGCCTTTATTTTGGGGAACATGAACAGGATCTCAGTCTTTGAAAGCAATCAACAAGAGATGCCTTATTCGTGACTGCTGTCATGAAAATAATAGAACTAGGCATCTCCTTGAATAAAACTTTACTGAGAAACAGGACAGCCTCCAGCAAGTTGTCTAGAAAGCTCACGATATGATAAGGAATCTGGTGCTGTCAGAAAGAATTAGGCATATGCTGAGAAGACCTAACAGATCCAGCCTCTTAATCAGAGGACTTAATCAGGAGACTGCTTAGTTTTTGCATCTTGACTGAGTTTAGGTATGAGATAGCTGTTGCCTAGAAGGTCACATTGCCATGACTAACAAGCTCTTGAGTTAGGACATGAAGAGAGTCTAAATGACATTTGGAAATGAACCATAGCCAAGAACCAAGGTGTATATGACTGTTCCTTATTGCCACACTCTGTTTAATGATTCTACGGAAGGCAAACTTTATATTGGGCTGGGCTTATTTTTTTCTGAAAAGGAAAAAAAAAAGAGTAAATTATACTACGAATAATTCATGTTTTTCAAAGGGAAAAAAGAAAGATAGACATTTCTAACTTACCTCGACGATTAACAGGGTCCTTAGCTACATATGCAACATAGTCAGTTGTATCCTGTCAAAAAATTAAGATATCTATAGTGAATGCAAAAACATGTTTGAACTGATCATTGGAAAAGTCCACAGTGTACATATTCTTGTGGGTAGGATAACAATATGGTATGTCTATCACTACAGTTATCTACTGCTTGGAAGCCTGCAACTTCTCATTTACTGAAAAAAAAAAAGTTTCATGAGTTTGGCTATGGATCCCATCACTTTGCTTTCCTCAGAATGTGAAACTATTCCAGCATAATCTCTTCCACTGCCTTTGAAAATCCATTTAAAAAATTTGTTAGGATTTGGATTGGGCCTCATTCAGAAAGGAGTAGAACTTCCAAGTCATTTTTCAAAATGTGCCCAGAGATTTTGGTTCAAAATATAAAGTAATTGACTGATTGTCTGGCAGAGAGAGCGAGACTAACAGCTACGCTCCTCTGAAATAAGAAGAGCTGGTTTTATTGATGAGTGAAAAGCAAGTGCTTGGCACACAGTGTCATGAGCCACGGCTCAGCTGGGCTGTGAGAGGCAGCCTCCCCAGGACACTGTCCCTAGCCCAAGGGCTGCTCCCGTTCCCACAGGCCAGGTGAGCTTCCTGGAAAGCACAGGCTCACGTCTCCTCTGGTGATTTCTTGCTCCCACTCCTCTGCACAACCAAGGCAAAGTTCTTTCATCCTGCAGATGAAATGGCAAAGCCAATGCTCTTGAGAAATGCCAGGTTTACTGGGACAACAGGAAGGAGGGAAGGAAGGGAGAAGGGGAGGAAGGGAGGAAGGGAGGAAGGGAGGGGGTCTTGTTTAGCAGCCTGGAAACAGTCATTTGAAATGACTGTGGATGAAAAATGTTTGGTGTAGGGAGGCTGCAAAGAACTAGAGCAAATCAAAACACTGTCTTGGAAGTGAACTAAAAACGATTCTGAAATGGCACATAAAAGGTTTTGGAGGAGCCATTTTAAGCTTGTATGTAGTGACAAAGCCTGAAACTATCTGACTCATTGCAAAGGGGAGTATTGCAAAAATATACGTGGTACTCAAGCTGTTCTCCAGGATTGTGGAACGCTTCTCCAGTGGATATATTTTGAATGATGAAGGTAATTAATGCTTAGGGAGTGAGAGGAAAGTTGCAAAGCTAATTGCTGGTACCAGTGTGTGGCAGACCAGAAAACTGGATGTGGCAAGGAATGAAGGGAGTCTAGGCTTCCAAATAAACCAGGCCTCAAAATCTAATGTAAGAGAAGTCCCTCTCCACAAAATCTAGGAACTGATCTGGGTTTCCCATGTCTACAGCTTTTCTTCTTCTACTTTAAATCTGAAATAAGGGAATGAGCTGGAGCCCAACTGTGTGATAAACAGGGATACTTTCAATGATAAACTTTGGGGAATAAGGTGTCTGTGATGGTAGTCCACCTCTAAATGGAAATAACTTAGGGTTGGTGAAAGTCATGTCTGCCTAGCCCACAGAAGGTTAATGAAGCTGCAACTTAAATCATGTCCCTTGCACCCTCTTCTTTCCTGTGCACTAGTGTCAAAGGACACCTGCTTTATGAACAAGTTCCTTTTGATTTAAGCTGTGCCAAATACAAGCCTGCTGAGACAAGCCTGTAGAGAGCCATCAGATACTCACATCCACCCTCTCCACCCCTGGGATGAGATCACCCTGCAGTGGTCCCGCTGGGAACTCTGCTTTATAGTCACTGTCTCTTTTACCAGCTCCTTTCCATGATGTAGTTTGATTTCTCTGGTAGCTCACTGACTCAGTAGTATGATTTTTATCTCTCTAAAACATTTGGAAGAGCTTGTTTACTCCAAATCCAATTGCTACTGCTGCTGCTCCTCTTCCCTGGTAAACCACTCTATCAGTGGGCAGCATGCAATGGTGATTCCAGGACTCAGCATTTGGGATGGCAGATGGGGAGTGAAGAATCTTCTTACGGAGGCAGGGAACTGTGCTAATCACTCCTCTGCCCACTTCAGGAATTGTTCATTTACAGCATCCTGTGGCAATCTGTTGTATTTCAAAGCTGCTGCTGATCCATTTTTTTTTCTCCAAATTATTGTCATGTGATGTTTTTTTTTCCCTTTCTAGACCTCCACTGACTTCAGCTGAGTTATACCAGGACTGAACTTTGCCCTTATGTTTGCTGAGGGTAGTAAAATGAAAGGAGAAGTTGCAAAGGATCTTCAACCTAATGGAATGAAGCTGAGAAAAATAACTCACAGGGCAGGCTAGAAATTACTGTACTTGTACTACATGACTGATAAATGACAGATAATTATATGACTGATGAAAATGCAGATTCTTTCAATTAAGCTTGATTTAAAAACTTATCAAAACTCTAGGGTATTAGTTGAGCATTGTCCATATTTTAAAATTTTACCATTTCTTCCTGGGTGAGAAATACTTTTGGAGCCCATTTAATATGACTTTAGATAGACTTCTCATAAAAATATTCAAGTCAAGGTCTGCCCTTTGCTGGGTGTGAAAGAAACATGTAGATGTTTGACAAAATTGGAAAGAAAATTCTGGGTTTCAGATCTGGGTTTGTTCTCAAAGCTTGTCTTCATCTGTGTGTGTGTTATGAATGTATCTGAAAGCAGTACTTAGTACATTTTTCTCAATGCACAGTTAAAGAGGAAAAGAAAAAAAAAACAAATAATTGTAACATGTCTATTGCAAAAAGGACAAAAAAGAAAACAGCCGAAATGAAAATTCACCGGATATACCTATCTGACATTGCTCTGAAAAACAGAGCTTCTTATCAGTTATTATTTGAATGCTCGCAGTCCTTTGATACTTTTCATTTCAGCCGTTCAAGGAGAAGGATTTATGATTGCTTGTCAGTGGTTTCCTCAAGAAAAGCTTGATGGCAACAGTCAAGATGAATTTATGAAACAAGAAGCAGAAACTATTGTGTTTATATTTTCCTTTCAGTAAGCTATGCAATAAATTTTGACAAACAGCCCTCATAAAGCCGTATCTGTGTTGGGGGAAGCTTTAAGAAATGCTTACCGGATCACCTCCAGATGCAAAGGAAATAGATTGCATATGGTGATTTGCTATGATCTGTGTGGATCAGAAAAAAAATAAGAACAAGTTAGTAGGTTTTCTCATACAGTTTACTCTTTTCATTTCTTTTTTTTTGGCTTGTGTGGGGGTGAAAATCCAAAACTAAGATGAAAATAACTCCTTCATTTCACCTACGAAGAGTGTAAAGAGTGGCATGATAATATAAACAAACTTAAGGATGAACGTTTTTAATCTGCGGTTCCTTGAAACCTAGCAGGAGATTGCTAAATGGGCTCAGAACTCCAGTAAATCATATAGCTCTGTCATACAGTATCTTTGGAGAAATTTTAATCTGCTAAGGCTCACTTTCTTTATTACAGCTAGTGATGAATGGAGGAAAGGGTCCTATTCATCAAAACCCTTTTCTGCTGATGCCACCTGGGTGGAATCAATGAAATTGTGCCAACCTGCACACCCGCTTCAGATCCTACCATTGCTTCCAGCACTTACTGTGCCATTTTATGCTTGAGATGTTAAACATACACATGTTTGCAATATGCAAATTGAATTTTGAATCTAGCTGCAAATCTAGGTTTACAGTCACAATATCAGGCACACCCGAGGGCATTCGAAATGCCAAAATTCAATTTGCTTATGTAGAGTTTTAACCAACACAATATTTCTCTGAGAAGAGAAAAGTTGTCAGGAATCTCTAATACAAGGGGAATAGCTCTGCTCTATTCCTATTTTGAGACTTAACTTACAAAGTCTTTTAATAATAAAATCATGTAACAAGCAAGCATGAAAAGGTCATTCTAAAGAAAAGTTTGCTTCATCATTTGAGTCACAGGAATGCTACTAAATAATTCACTCGCTATAGGAGAGGGTCCTTATTTAGAAAATCTAGAGTATGTGACACTAATCATTAGGATAATAATTGTTTCCTTTGAAAAAGATAACGTGTACCATAAAAAACTTGATTTAGGGAAAAAAAACAGTTATAAAACATATTCTCTGCCCTCTTCTCCTGTCCTGCATCTTAAAGTTCTGAAATACCAACTATTTTCCCTGAAGGAAAAAAAAAATTCTTACATGAATTTCTCTGGCTTTTGCCATTTCATGCAATCAGAAAAAAATAGACAAAGATAAAAAATCTTTCATGTAAAGTTCCTTATTAATGCTGTTTCTTATCTCACAGCAATCTCAGAAGATATGGTTAATTTTTAAATGCTCAGTAGATGACCATTATTCCCTTAGTCCTCAATGGGGATTTCCCTCATTTTTTTTCTTATAAAGAATAAGTGATCTTAATGTCAAAAATGAGCTAATGTGGATTTGTTGCACATCCAGTGTCATTTCTATCTAAAGCTGCACAAATAATCTAATCTTTCTATTTAGCAGTATAAAGAATAATTGAAATTATTTCAGATTATTTTAAAAATTAATTTTCCAAATGTTAAGGCAACCAAAAGATTTTTTAAACTATCAGTTCAAGTTAAGCACTTTTTTTATACAACCCCAGAGGCAGGGGTATGCACACTAAAAGCCTGTTCATCCATCCCTACTATGGTCCCAAAGCTTCTGTGAGGGATGCAAGCGATGGCTCGCCCAGTGCTCAAGGACCCACAGCCCAGTCTTGTCCCTCCTTCCACCTCCACTGGCAACAAGGGGCTATTGCAGAAGTCCAGGCTGTCTTTCCTGGATGGGCCTTGAATGACAAGAGTTGTTGGGACCTTGAGACCCAGCTTGGAGGGTAAGGGAATGTTTGGCAGGAAAAAAGAAACAGGGGAGATCAGGGCCAGACTGGGGATCTCCAAGGAACCAGATGTTCCCCAGTCCTCCAGCACGCAGATGCAGTCTGTCTCAGAAAGAATGGTGTGAGAGAAACAGTCTCTGGTATTTCAGTTCACTGGAAATTACTTCACCTCTCCACAAAAAAAAGACAAAGCATTTAGGGGAGGATCCTTCCCTGGGATAAATCAGTTTTAACTCCATTTCTACCCAGCTGAAGACATGGCCACTTTCAGGGTTTGGCACTTCTCTAACAGACCTTGTTCCCACCTAGCTCCTGCGCTGCTGACTGGGGCAGGCGTCCCTGCAAAAAGCCCTGCTGTGCGGATGCCTTAACATCCCCCACACCAGCACCGCCAGCCATTCTGCTGCTCTCACAGTCTCTGTGCTTTCCCTGCAGAAGATTACAACATTTTCTAAATGAGAACAAAATTGATGAAAAGATATATTGGTAAAAAAATCACTATAAACAAAAAGCTTTTAAATACATTTGGTGTGTAGCCTTTCTTATCCTTTCATCCTGAGGCTTCTGAGGACAGCAGGATTTTTTTTTCTTTCATCCTTTCTTTCTTTTTTTTTCCTTGCTAGCTGTATCTGGGCAGAAAGTTGCGTGCCTTAACGCAGTATGTAGCTCACAGCAAATAGCACAGCAGTGACTACGCAAGTCTGCCTGCTCTCTCTTTATATATACCCTGAGCAAGGATTCTTTTTTTTTCTCACATCTCATACATCATTCACAATCCACTGCAGTGATTCCCCAAAGTCGGTATGTACCTTCAGCACAAAGAAGAAGGAGAAATGGGCTGTTTGAGAAAGGCTGCCTTGTATTTCTAAAAGACAAGGCATTTCACTGCACTGAAAAATCCCTGTGGCTGTATTTTTAGCAGCGCCCTAAGAACAGATTGCCCTTTAAAACTCTAAAGGGGAAGAATGAACGACAAATTGGAGATGTGCGTTCATTTCTTCAGTCACCTGCTCCATCCTGAGCCCTATAAAAGTTTGTAACTGCAGCCAAACAAGAATTCCTGCCACCAGAAAATGCCATTTTCTGTTGCAGGTCTGCTTACAGAAAAAGAGCTACTTGAAACACGGACAAAAGAAAATAATTCATCCAAGCTATTCTGAATACTTAAACAACAGTGCTGACTCCTACTATGTTTTATATTCTCTTTTCATTTACTCCATAAGTGTTATTGAGCAATAGTATTTTAAGCAATTGACTTT